AAAGTCTACTTGATAAAATGCTGCAAACTGTGCCCATTTCTTACACTTTTTATAAATGTAGAGGGAGTTTTAAAGCAAAAGGACACCAATTTAAAGGAAAGCAATACCTTATTTAGTAATATGTTTATCAAGCCCACAAGTATATGATTTTAACTGCCTATAGGAAACAGGTTGAGCAAAATGAAATTGCATCATATGTCCTTCAAAAGAAGTTTCACCACTTTCTGAGTTTGTTTATTATATATTATTTATGCAGGAAAAGGGGGGCAGGGGGGAAGGACAAGTAAACAAATCAAACACCCTGGTGTAAAACCAGATAAGATTTTTCTGTTTCAACTTATGATACATCCTCAACCATGTTCTACTTACACAATAAATAAATGCTTGTTTAATTGCATTTTAAAATTTTAAGACTGTAATTCTGTATCTAGTTTTAAAATTGGTTATCTTAATTTTTCCTGTAGTTTTTTCGATCTCATGGGACATAAGTATATACATATAATAAGTATTAACATTCATTACTGTGATGTTGCATCTATGTTTTTGTGACAGTTTGGAATATGATTATTTAAAATTTGTTTAAGAAATATCTAAATTTAGCAGTTTGGCAATGCTCTTTCTTCAACAGATGCAGTGGGGGCTAAAAGAAAAAAGGCAGTCCTTATAAAAACAAAGACTGCTACATACCTTCCATGTTTCAGATGCCCAAATTGTCACAATATGTGAACAAGGAGCCCTCACAATGAAGATTTCTACAAAGACAGTTTTTCTTAGCTGGGGGATTTTGTGGATAAGAAATTCTGTAGTGAACATATTAATAATTGTAGTATCATCTGGTAGATTTTGTAAACAAACTGCTCTATGGATTTGAGTCAGCCATAGTTGACAGATCTCTGCACTTTATTCTCCTTATAACTTTAGAAACCAAGTTAAGATGCAGAAGAAAAGAGGATTCTGGGTTTGGCAGGCAGGGAACAGGACCCTGATGGGCTTCAGTCAAACACAGATATAATTACAGGGGACCAAATATTTTAAGCATGGTGAAATCATGTATAATCACAGGTCATCATACAGTTCCTTTCATTAATATGGTTAGATCAGTGTCTGTTACCTATTCCTTAGCCTACTGAAGAGTTTTTCAGGACTTTATTAATCTGATGTTAAAAAAAAAATTTGTTCATTTCCAATCTAAAGGCACAGATATTTCTGAATTAGATTTTAAATGTGTATCACCTCTTAAACTAAATGGATCTTTAAGCATCTGGAACACTGGTTCGCTCTCTAGTGGTACATTTTTCTCATCTCAGCTGTTTTCAAAGTCTGCCTGTATGTAGAAGGAAAAAAAAAAAAGAATCTCTTTCAATATTTAAGTGAAATTAAGAAAATTCTTATTCTTTTCTACCGTAGTATGAAGGGCTGCTAGCCAACAGTCTAGATGAGAGATATCAGGGAAGGCCCGTAGATATGTACCAAATACCATTATCATCTTCTTCCAACCAATATAAGTGCAAAGGGAAAACTATAATAATTAACTAAATTTAAAAAAATAAAATGAAATAGCAGTATTATCCTTCTTATTTAACCAATTTAAACTCATCTTTTAGTTTATGTATCGTTAGCGATGTTTTCCTTAACATCCAATTATTCTTAATTTAGTTGTAAACTGAATGCTGTATTTATAAAATAAAAATGTATTGAGAAAAAAAACAAACGCAAAACCCAAAACATCTCTTTGATTTTGTTAGTTTTGATTAGAGACTTTTTTTTTCCTTAGATGAGAAAGGGGATAAAGAAAGATGAAATGTGCATGTGTCTGAGCAAAAGTGTAACTAGAAAGAATTAAGTTTGTGGTTTTACCGCTTTGTATTTAGTATTGCTACAGAATGCTTGTGCTGTTAATACTTTGCTTGAAAAGTAGGTTAAAAGTCATGTGTTTGAAATGATTATCTACTTAGTCTAGTGACTCCTAATAATGTGCCTGTGTGCCTGTCAGAATGTTTAGCCGTGGAAGAAATACAGCTAGTCACATTACATTTTTCTGTAAATCTTTTATGAAGAGAGTGTTTTTATAGTGTAAATGATTTATCAATTCAATACTGTGCTGCTATTGTGCCCTTAAAGTTTTAAATAAAACCTAATTAAGAATTAATTCAAGACTTGATCTGAAGTTGAGTGGATTTTATGAAAATTGCCTTTTATAGAAACCTCCTCCCTGTCTATGCACCCTGCGTTTTCATTATCTTATTTCCATGTGAATCTAGAGAAGCTTCCATGTTCCCTTGCTTTTAGAAATGTGGAATATGTTTTAATTTCATTTTCTCAAATGTTGTCAGGGTCCACAATTTGTCAGATAGCCAGAATCTGTTGTCTTTGTGCCTAGAATTCATAATTGCTCTTTAGAACAGTTGATATAATATATTTTAGTTGATTATGTGTTTAGTGGTGTATAACTGCTAAACTATAATTTAAAAATTCTTCTTGCATCTTTGGGGGCAGGGGGAGGGAACTGTAATTAATGTAAAAACTCTCCTTGTCAACATTATAATGGATGGAAATAAGTGAACATGTGTGGGACATGTGACTGTTGAGTTATTGTGTTTCTCTAATTTGTGAATCACGATTTTAACCTAGAAATGAGATGCAAACTAGACTAAGCGTGTACATTATGTACGTACTGGTTGCTGCTTAGGTAAAGGATTAATGTACAAAGCCAAGTATATGACCATATGTGTATATATATTGCTGTGCCAATTGTTTTTACTTTGGTATGCAAATACTATACATATCTCCTAATTAAAACAGCTTGGTTAACACAAACATAAGTACTCTCTTTTTAAACCATTTTTTCCTTGAATGCTGAATTGTTTTTTAGATAAGAGGCTGTCCTCAGGTCAGGAGGTTCCTGAGGCGCAGATTGCTGGAGACAAGGAGAAGGCACTGGAGGAACTGCCTCACTAAGCCTGCTCTGTGTTCAGGGGGGGCCTTGGCCTTGGCACCAAGACAGGGTACTAAGCTACAGAGGAACCTTTTGTGTGACTCAGTATAGTGATACTTATACTTTTTTTTTTTTTTTTTTTTAAATCTTGCTTAGACAAGGGATGGCATAGCATGAGTGAATACCACCTAACTTTTATGTCCTGAAGAATCACAGTGGCAGTTTTACAGGAACCCCAGAATCTCATTTAGTTTGTATATAAAAAAGTATCAAAATATTTTATAGCATTTGTGTCTCCTCTGGTATACATATAAAAATTTACATGCCCTTTTTTGTCTATGTAGAAATACAAATAGAGCACCAAGGTGTATGTGCACACACACATACCTATATACCTTATTCTTTAGGGGTGTGTGTGAGAGAAGTGCTTTAGCATAGGCTGACACAGAACTTGAGTGTGGTTGAGCAGCTTCCAAGAGACACATGCCCCGTGTTCAGGACGCAAGCCTGAAAGGCCAGATCTGACTTTATGGGTAAAAGGGCAAAGAGGCTCTAATGTAGATACCTTCAACTGTGGGTCAGGTTAGGAAGTAGTTCTTTCTTACCCTACAGCTCTCAGGGCAGCTTCTAGCTGATACCCAACTACTGGACCTTTTCAGAGTGACCTTTTCAATTTGGTGGTAGAAATGAGGAGGGCATTTATATAATAAAATGCAGGTCTTGGTGTGGAGGCAAAAACGATTAAGTGGTTCACAGATGATGACTGCTGCCTGACAGCTAATGTCTTCAGCTGCCACCATTTGGGTCTGACAAAGGCACACAGGACTGTGCAGGCAGGACTGGACAGGATAGGACTGTTATGTATTTTGTTTCAGTAGAAAGTCATTTAGGTTAGTTAAAACAAGTGCTTTTGAAGGAACCTGTTTAGTTTCCTACTAGAACAACTGTGCTGTAGGGCGGTGATCTCCAAACTTCTTTGATCGTGCACCCCATGACTGAAATTCCCATCTGAAGCTTATTGTAACTAAACATTTTTCATAATTAAAAGCATTTATTAAGTCAGCTTTTTAAGTACTTCTAATATTGTTTTAACTGCTTTTATTTGGATACATGCATTTGCTTAAAGTAACCATACATTCTGAATTGAGGTTGTGAAATAAAGCTCATGAACTAGCAGCATTCCTGGCATTTAAGAGAATTTCTATCAGGTTTCTTCCATTTAATAAAAAGTGATGTTGGATTTTTTTTTTTTTTAATAAACTGAAATGATGACCAATAACATGACAGAAATAGAAGGTGGATATTTCATGTTGTCATATGGAAAGGGAAGTAACTTTTCTCGTATTCTTAATTAAGATAGTGATTTTTGCTTAGAAGAATGCTCGGTCAGAGGAACAAATGAAATATTTAGAAATTTGGTGGGTGGTGTGTGGGTGGAGAGAATTACGTGCAAAAATTGGAAAGCATGGACTTTCTGTCACTTGAAAACTTAATCAGTTAATAAATTTGTCAAAGAATGTGTGGAATTTTAGAAATTAAATTATTCAGTGACATCTTTAGTTTTGGCCGTGAGTAATAATAAAATATTTGTGATTGAATAGTAAGCACTGGCAAGGAGGTTATAGCAAGTTACACAATATCATGAACAACTGCAAGTTTATCTACATTGCACTTTTCTCTCTTTTTTCTTTTTTTTTTTTTTTTTTTAAACCAGAAACTTAGTGATTCATAAGTTTGAGGGATTTTTTGACAACTCTGAACTAGTTTTCATGTGAAGAAATTCCTTTAGATTCCAAATTCACTGGGTCAGGCTGGAGATTACTTTATAGATAATTTTAGCTGTAACATTAGTAGAAATTCTGTAAGAAATTGAATTATACGAGTAGCACAACTAAACATTCTGGAGTTGGGATGTGCTCCTGTTAGTTGACTTCATTACGAGCTTGAAATAATGCAGTCATTTTCTTTTCTAAAGTTCTGAGAAATGTTAACTTTTTGTAAGAATGCTAACATTTCAGTTTGGGGTTTCTTTCTGCTTATTAATTGAAGTGTTTCTGTTTTCAAGGGAACAAAAGAAATTGAAGGTGAAGAGGAGTCTGGTTTAATTCCGCCTGCAGAAGTATTTGCTCCTAAGAGTCTGGTATTGGTGTCCAGACTAGACTATCCAGAAATTTTCAGGGTAAAGAACTTGCTATTCCATTTATAATATATGTCAGCAGACAAATCTGTTTTTAATGAGTAGCAGTGACAGTATGTTTGATTTAAAACATCTCAGGATTGATTTGGGAATTTAAAAACAAAAGTAGGCTTAGATTGAACTGGATAAAATTCAATGTCTATGACAGTAAATAGCCCCTATAGGTTGAAGCAGTGCTTTTTTACCCTCCAAGCAGTTTTAAATCTACATAGAAGATGAAATAGAGATTTTTCTGGGCTCAAGTCACTGTATAATGAAGGGAATTATTAGGACTTGCTCAGGTGAAAACAACACATCGACAATATTTGATTAAATATATAATGGTAAATTAATGGCAAAATCCTAGTTTTCCTCCATATGTAAGGCAAAATGTCAGAGCCTCTTCCAGATCAAATTAAGATGCATGACACAGATTTAGGATCTTGGATTACTTTCAGCTGATGAAATATGGCTGATCTGAGATAAATGAAAAGCTTAAATTGTTATTAAGCTAATACATATTAAAAGAAACAAATATAGTTCAGTTTACAGATCAAGGGAGGAAATCATTCACAGTTAAGTTGTCATTAGACATTAAGAATGACTGTACCGAGTGAGATTAGAAGTCCACGTAGCCCAGCATTTTGTCTGTGATAGTGGCCTGTAGCGAGTGCAGAGCAAAGTGTGTAAGAATAGGGTAGGCTGTAGAAATAATTCCACAAAATACATTCCTAATTCAATATGAATTATAGTTAAATGACATCCTGAACCAGAGGTGTCAGTTGTGTGGGTTTTTTCATATAATTTGTCCAGTTTCTTAACACTCAGATTTTACAACAACCCGTGGCAAGGAGTTTCACAGCTTAACTATGTGTTATATGAAAAATTACTGTTGGAATTATTTCTAAGAAGAGAATTCCTAAAATATTTGCTGAATTATCAAAATTACAGCAGTTAAAAGGCACCAAAAGGATGCTGTGGAACAAAGTTATTTATTTCCTTTTTTCCAAAGGCTTCTTAAATCATCTTACATTAAATTATTAGTAAAAATGATAAAGCTCTATCTGTGATTTCTCAATCACAACTGGATCCATATAAAAAATATGGAAATGCTGAAGTGTTAATATACTGTTCGTTTTAAAATTTATTTATATTGAAATAATAAAATAAAGAATGTAAGTTAAATAACATATGGAATTGTTGATCCTTGATGCTAGTCTTAAAACAAGCCTCAAAAGCTCATTGATTCATGTGTGTGCTACTCTGGAAACCAGTCAGGTTTAGGTCCATAGAATTCAAAGCACAGGTGAAGCCATGTTGATTTTATAATTTTTAAAAGTAACTTGTAGTAAACCACTTTTTGTACAATGAACAAAGCACAAACATTAAACATTTAATTTCTTTTGAAAAAAGAATATATCTACACCTACCAGCGCATATATCCCTTCTAAATAGCCAAGCTATTTTTTTTTTTAAATGAATGATTGCTTCTATAGCAAATCACTGTCTTCAGTTGGAAAGTACTTTGCTACATTAATAACTATTAAGACACACTTATTTAAAAAAAATATATCCATAGATCTTTAAGTAATTTGACATCTGCCTTCCCTGTGTAACAGTCTAATGTATTTTGTCTACCTTTCTAGGCTTGCCTTGGCCTCATCTATACTGTGTATGTGGACAGCCTGAACGTGTCACTGGAGACTCTCATTGCAAATCTGTGTTCATGCCTTGTCCCTGCTTCTGGAGGGTCTCAGGTAAATGGAAAAAAAGGGTATTTTTCCAGTTAATTTAATTTATGAAGAAAACAAAAAATAAATTCTTGAAATTTTTCTGAAGAAAAAAAGATCATAGTTCAGCTGAGTGCTTTCCCTGTGGCCTGTGAGTGCTTTCCCTGTGGCCTGTCTTTTGAAGACAGCAAAAATTCCATTCCAGGATAAGGTCAAAGGGTTAATTTTGTCACTGAGTTGGCTTTTTACAAGGCACAGTAACAAATCAAGCAGTTTGTGTAAGTTTAGTTTTTAATAATAATGTGTGTTCAGGAATATTTCTGCTTGCTTCAGATTTTTTTAAGGGCTTCTTTTTCTTTGCCATTTTTTAACATGTCCTTCACTTTGGTTCATTTACTCGTGTCTTTTCCTTGATGCAGTTCAGGATACCACTAGTAACTCTTTTAACTTTCTATTTTCATAAAATTTTAAAAAAATGCTAAAAAAGTAACTTGGACGTGGTTTTCTCAGAGGTAATTAAATATTCCAGGTAGCCCATGCATTCAAAAATAAGAAAAAAAATTTTCCAGCAACTACACTTCTTTCTGCTTTTTACCTATGCTTTTTGTGGGCAGAAAGTCAGGTTTGCTTGTTGTACTTTAAATAAATTATTCCTATACATTTGTGGGTTTCTGACAAGCCAGTTACGTCTTATTTGCTTGGCCTTTATTTTATGCTGTGACACTGCTGCAAAATTGTAGTCCTTATCATGAAACATACCTGGAAACTACGTACGCAAATGGCAATATTTTAAAGTTGATTTCATAAACATTTTCTCACACTTCCCACCCACCCTATGGATTATCAGCCTTCTTGGAATCCTACAAATCCCTAATTCTTTTCTGTTTTTCCCATAGCCCTGGCTGCTTTGTAATTTCTCTTAGTGCTGTAAGTGGCAAAATGTCCTCTTAGCTTTGTCAAGATCTACCTTACTGCTCTGCAGGCAACCACATCTCTGTTTTTGGATCCCAAGCCTTTTGGTTTTGAAGAGGAGTAATTAGATTGCATCTCCCTCTCAGAAATCCTTTTTTCCAGTGGTACAGGTTTTGGTGATCCACTTGAACTTCTGGCTCCTCTTCTATCCTCTTTTTTTTTTTTTTTTTTTTACCCCCCAAAAAAAAAAAGGGCTTTCCCACGGGCGCGTTTC